GTTAGCTCTATTTCTGATATTGAGCGCTTTCTAATAAGTACCATGCATATAATATATAAATAATTATACATATATATATTTATTTATATTTATATATACTTTTCATATATATATATATATATATATATATATATATATATATATATATATATATATATAGTAGTGATAATATGGTAATCTGTATGGAGTGTATATGGGATTTGTTTGTAGGTTTTGAAGATTGAGAGCTGCTTATTTAGAGCTCTCATGAAATAAAAATTATTACCTATGGGATTTTAAGTGTTTGATATTCTTTAATTAATAATATATATATATATATATATATATATATATATATATATATATATATATATATATGTCTCTTCAAATCTATCTATCTATCTAGGTATCTAATTTTCGGATATGTCAGTCGTTAAACACATCGTTAAATCGTTAAATCGTTATCGCCTTTTCTATCTGTATACTTTTTTCTTTCCTTCCGTCTTTTTCTCACTGAAATCAAACAGTGTCTCTGATATGTCTTTACGGTCTTTCCACGCAATGAAAAAGGGAATTGTTCATATTTTATGAAGCATTGACAGGAGATAACGTTTTGTGGTAAACAGTTAAGGAACGAAGGCAGAAAAAGAATTATAATATGATGTGCGATAAAGTTGCAACTCCTGCCGAATACATTACATTCACTTGGGAAAGCTATAAATCCTGTTCTTCTCCATCGCCTCCTAGCTGTAAATACCAAAACAGCCTTGGGTGCCAACAGGTCTAGGAGAGTACAACTCTGAATTCAAAATCTGTGGAGGATCGTTTCGGGAACCTGTGGAATATGGTGCCGGTTTTCGGCTCTTCCAAGAAGTATGGCTGGTTCTGCAATTGGAAATACTGTTGAAAACTACTACTTCTAATGACTGGAAATTTTACTAAGAAATAACTATGTCGGGATAAAAATTGATTTTTAAAAAGTTAAGTAATCTTTTCATATATATATCTTACTTATTATAAAACGCAGATTGTGTGTGTGTGTGTGTGTGTGTGTGTGTGTGTGTGTGTGTGTGTGTGTGTGTGTGTGTGTGTGTGTGTACGTTTATATATTGGATCGGATTTCCTACATTTTTGAACCGATTTCTACAAAACTTCACAGGACTACGTAAAATTACCTGGCGGTGGTTCTGACAGCGCCAAAAATTGGAAAAACACAATTATTTTTGCACGAAATCAATTTGAAAACATGATTAAGAGGCATTAATGCAAGGGTGACAACTCATATCGAGCTATACTTATTAATATCGAGTTATACTTATTATAAAACCCAGGTTGGTTGTGTGTGTGTGTGTGTGTGTGTGTGTGTGTGTGTGTGTGTGTGTGTGTGTTTATATATGGGATCGGATTTCCTACATTTTTCAACCGATTTCAACAAAACTTCACTTTTTTTTTGGCAGGTAGTGTTTCTTATTGTCTTGCACACTTTTTTCTTTATTTTTACATTCAGAATGCTTTAAAAATTCCATTTACAAGACAATTGTTTATAATAAAATTCTATTCAATCGGTAGACTCATAACGATTGAAAACAATGTTTTTGCTTGAGTTTGGGTTTGACCAATTCGTAAAAACAAAACAAAAAAAAACTAATTAAGACATACGTGTCCGTCAACCTTAAACAATAATCTTTGTCAATTTTATTTTTCAGTCTTTATGATGGTTGATACTTGATCTATCTCTTACTGTTAAAGGAAGGATTCGAACCCACGTCCACCTGGGCAGAGGGAAGAGTCATAATGTAACCGACTCAGCTATGAAGGACTCTTGCTGAATAGTGGCTTTCAGCGAAATCCTTCTCTTCAAACATACTCGAAATTTCATATCTGCTCAATTTCGTAACCAAAGCAATTTCTAAAGAAGTAATGTTTATATATATATATATATATATATATATATATATATATATATATATATATATATCACTTTAAAACACCGGTTTCCGATTTGATTACCGAAGTTAATCAACTTCGAGCCCGGTCAGTACCTAGATGGATGACCGCTTGGTGCTGTAAGCTTGGATGTGCAGGTGGTGTAATGGGTAATGACTCGAACTAAAAAAACGTAGGACAGACGAGTTCGAAATCCAGTGGAGTTCATTACATTGACTTATGCGCAAATGTATTTGGAAAAAATGTGAATTCATCACCTCAGCTATAGGCAAATAGCAGAACATACTGGACGCTATAGCCTTGGTTGTCAAGCAGTCGAGGTGAAAAATAACTCAATTCAGACTAGCCTGGAGGGTGGCTGGCAAAAGGTGGATGAGTCTCTTATAGGAGCCAATGGTCAACATGCTACTAGAACATGGAAAACTATCGTCAGAAAATAAATAAATATACTGTTTAATAAATAAACGGGGCGTCTACTCAAATGTGTGTATATATTAAAATTAACATATAAGTAATAATATATATGTCTGTGTGTTTGAGTGTAGAGAAAGAGAGAGAGGAGAGAGAGAACGATATCCGTTCGGACATTTAAAATGCAATGTCTCTTTTTGTCTCTCTCAATTTATATATATATATATATATATATATATATATATATATATATATATATATATATATATATAAAACATGTTTCGATAAATAATAATTATACTATACTGTGCAGTCGGCAAAATTAAAGACAAACAAAGCGCGAAATTAAAAATACAAAATGGCGATAATTTACGCATCTTATATATATATATATATTTCGATTACATTCGTTAATTAAAAATTAATTTACACGCTTTTTAAATTCCCAGAATAAATAAACTTGATAAGTCCTGGGACGAAACCGGTTGTTTTTATTTTAGCTTTTGCTTTCAAAAATGCCTTATAAATATTGTCTTTTTCCTATCTATTATTAAATTCTGTACCACGAAAAACTTATTTAAATATATATATATATATATATATATATATATATATATATATATATATATATATGAAGAAATATACTCTTAAGGTGTGTTATATTTATGGGATAAAGTGCTCAATATCAGAGAAAGAGCGTGTGTAAATATAAAAGTGAACATTGAAGTCAACACTTAGAAAGCAACAGTCTGCTTCATGCTAGACGCAATCATGGGTGGCCTGCCGATTGCGTCTAGCATGAAACAGACTCTGTGTGTGTGTGTGTGTGTGTGTGTGTGTGTGTGTGTGTGTGTGTGTGTGTGTGTGTGTGTGTCTTTGTGTGAGAGAGGGTGTGGTGGCAGCATATCTTGATTTAAACATGTCTCAGATCACCATGACTCAATTCACCCGCCAGAAATTTGAAAACGACCCATTGAACTGCTTGGTTTTAGCGCCGGAAGCTCCAAAACGAACAGTTCAAGTGTTTGCATGTCAATCTGGGGACAGTGCAAAGGATTTTAAAGGAGTTGGCTGAGTCTTATGGTGATTACGAATGTATTTGAAGTGATCACTAGTGATGACGAAGTTTTGCCTCCGTTCATCTTCCAACAGGGCCTCGGACTCAACACGGGGGCCTACATCAATTGCTTTGAGGAGGCAGTGCTGCTCTGGGTCAAGAGGTTGGCTGCTGGAAGACCCTCTGTCTGGCAACAAGACTCTGCACCATATCACACAAGCAGGAGAATCCCATTCATACCTGTCAAACAATTTTTGCAACCACATCACCTCTTACATCAGGCCACATAACTATCCAGACTGTAACAGCCTTAATTATTATGTGTGGGGCGCAGCTGAGCAAGACACCAACAAAGATTGTAACACTAAAGATGAACTGAAGACAAGGATTATGGCACCATTCACAAACATAAACAAGGAGACAGTCCAGAAAAGTTGCAGGAGATTCAGAAGTCGTCTTGAGGCCCTGGTTGAAGCCAATGGCGAAATTTATTGAATAAATTTACTCTTTAGTATTTAAAGATATTTTTTGTGTAAATATATCTGTTAAAATGAGATGTCAGTGTTATTTTCATTTTTGCGTCATTTAGACGACAATTTATTCATCCCACCGGAGGACATTTTCCATAGGCTGATCACACAGATACTCGGATCAACAACGGAATTTCCGATCCATTCGTAAATAACTCCGTATTGTAAACTTGTGTTCCACAAACTACGTTAGTACATACATACACATAATATATATATATATATATATATATATATATATATATATATAATAAAAACACTAATATTTCATGGTCATAATTTATTCCACTGGAATTGTTTAAGCCTTTTTATTATATCCTTACTCTGTCCGGGACATTGAGTTCTACCTGGATTCTATCCTCTTGGATTTTTTTTATACAAAATATATATGTATGTGTATGCATGTATGTATATATATATTTAGATATTTTGCATATGTATGTGTATATTTACCACTAATATTATACATATATATATATATATATATATATATATATATATATATATGCGTGTGTTTCATTAAGTAATATAGACATATTATATCTATTTATCTGACTTTATTTCTGAGATGAGGTATTATGTACACAATTTACAATATTCGAACTATTGTCCTCATCTTTGTCGCCATATTTATTACAATATTTCGCTCCGTTGTACGCTTTTTCAGGTGGTTGGAATGTCGAACATTACAACCACCTGAAGAAGGCCGGAGCGTACACGGCCGAAACGTTGTAATAAATATAATAATGTAAATAGTAAATAGTATATCCATTTAATTTTATAATAATGTAAATAGTATATCCATTTATTTTTATAATAATCATTTTAGTTTTCTAATTAACTTACTTGATGTTAAGTTGAAATTCATCAAGGAAGAAACCGTAGTTTTTGCAAATCCAAGTTCTTTCCGCCACCCACCTTGATGAATTTCTACTTAACATCAAGATGATCATTAGAGAACGAGAAAGAGTTATTATAAAAATAGGCATAATACGTATATATTATTTAAAGAAACATGCTTAAATGAAAATATACTGCCTAAACACACACACACACACACACACACACACACACACATATATATATATAGATAGATAGATAGATAGATAGATAGATAGATAGATATCCGATGTCTATTTTTGTCTATATGATAAAATTATAATATATATATATATATATATATATATATATATATATATATACCCAGCTATGGGTAAATAGCAGGACAGACTGGGTTCTATAGCCTTGGATTGCAACTGGTCTAGGAGAAGGACAACTCTGAATTCAAAACCTGCGGAGGGTCGTTTGGGGACCCTGTGGCACGTAGTGCACCAGGTCTCTGTATTCGGCCCTTCAAAAAGTGTGGATGGTTCTGCACAAAACTTAGGCAAACTTACCTAGGTTTCATTTAAACGGAAAGCCAGCTTTACCCTGAAGATCCGTTTAGGTGAAACCTAGGTAGGTTTGCCCGCCTCCTTAGGATTACTTTTGATTTTCGCTCTTCTTAGTCCATTGAGCACTTTACGTAGTTGTCTTTTACTCTTTTTACTCGTTTTGGTTTTTTTATTTCTTTGGAATTGGAGCTTAAATCACTTGACGATTGTTTTCGCCTTCTTTTAATGTTCTTGGTTCTTTCTTCTTTATTTCCCATTTTTCCTCGGGTACCGATTTGTTCTTATAAAAGTTAAGCTATCCGAGGTTTTTCCAAACGAGTACCACCATATATATATATATATATATATATATATATATATATATATAATAACCTTCCGTGTATTGATATTAAAGGATGAGAGTAATGTGATATAGCTGTTTAAATTTCTTTTTTTTTCATTTCCCAAGTACTTTCGATCTTCTTCCAAGATCATCTTCAGGGGTGCAAGTAGTACAAAACTATATGTTGTTTATTAATATATGTATTTATACAAAGTTATGCGTTGTTATCCATTACCATAATTTTTTCATTGTGCTTTTAAATGCAAAACGGTTGACAATGTGCTGAGCGTTCATTAGCACGTGAAAAAATTTATCCATTATGGAATTTTTTTTCTCTATGTTACAATGTCACGGTATAATTTATTCAATCAGACATGCCTAAAAGAGAAATTGCTACCTAAATACACAAATATATATATATATATATATATATATATATATATATATATATATATATATATATATATATATATAATTATTTTTTTTAAAAAATATGATTCTTCTGCACATAAGAGTTCCCATGTTTCAAAAAGAAGCTGAAAACTTCAATATAATTATTAGAATTAAATTGAATTAAAGTATCAAGCTCTGTTTCATCTTCAAGCGAAATTTTAGGGAAATCATATTTTTTTAAAAAATGTTTATAATTTAGGCTTTACTTTTGTATCGAGCACTGTTTTTTTTTTTTTTAAATAAAAACAAAAATACTAAAGAACTTCGGATTATTTACCTAACGAGTTCCTTCCTATTTTCTATATATTTGCACACACACACACACACACACACACACACTCACACACGCGCACGCGCGCAGATATATATATATATAAATATATATATATATATATATATATATATTGATCGTTTGATTGATTGTTCCCACGTAATATGTATGTATCTACGCGCGGGACATGAATTACGACCTGTTTATACCGGCCTAACTGTAGCAGTCGACAATGAGGTTGAGCGATGTAGACGTTTATTCGCAT